CTGCCATTCTCTCGTCAGACCCAGTCTTAGGATTTTTCTGCTACAAACAGCTTTGAAAATGTGTGTGAGCAGGCCTGAAGTTAGTGTAACTAACAGTAACAGCTTATCTATCTTTCACAAGTAAGCTGAAATAAATGAATTATCAGACATTATTGGAAAATCCATAGATCTCTGTGGGGATCTTTGATGGTTGTTTAAATCCTCTCCACTAGTTGTCTGCGTGTAAGAATGCGGATCTCATAGATCTTTGTACAAAGACAAAAATGGACTGCTCTTAAAAAAAATAGTGAATTCCTCTGTTTGTTGGTTACCCATTTGTGTGGTCATGAGCTGGTGACCAGGAAACAAGTTTCTGTAAATAAGTGTTACTTCTGTAGGTAGGTTAGTGGCCAGAACACCTGACTGGAAATCAGATGACTATCTGTTATCTCCATTGTTGTCCAAATGTGTGACTGTAAGCCTTTTGGCTTCTCTGTTCTCGAGTTTGTCCCTCTGTAAAATGGGAATAATAATAATACTTACCTCCTCTGTAAAGGCCATTTAGATCCACTGAGGAAAACGACTATCCAAAGTTAGCAATAATTGTTTCTTATTGTCTGAGAGCAATGGTATTTCTTTACAGCTTTGAAGAATCAGTATCTTTATAGCTTTGAGGTATCAGCTTCAAGTAGAAATCCCCTTGTTTCTGACACTGTTTTTCAAAGTGTGTCTACATCTGAGGACAGAAGCCAAGGTGAATTTGAGGTCATTCCTAGTTTAGGCCTGCGTCTGATCCAAGTTACTATTTTTTTTTAAAATAGTGTTTTGTGGGATAGGTGTTTTGGGGGAAGTAGAGACTGCAGACACTCAGGAAAGGATGAAGTATCAAATGCAACTCTAGGCTGCAGATTTATGGAGACTACTACCCCCTGTGCCATGCGATTTTGATTTGCTGCTTTCTGGCAGTCTCCTGGTGTTGTCCCTTGCTATCCTCAGACTTTTGACCAGGCTGACTGAGGTACCTGCAGCAAGCTGAGACTTGAGTTCCTCAGAGCTGCTTCTCTTGGCTGTGGAGGACCATGTCAACAAGGCCGTTTGATCAGACCCAGCTGGGCTCCGCTGCTCTTCTCTGGGGCAGGGACCACACTCCTCTCCTAATCCAGTGCTTAGCACAGTGATTCCTGCATCTATGAGTGGGCTCCTGGGGGAGATGGCAAGGTGATTGGGAAAACCTCAGACAAGAGGAATCTGTGAGGACATTGGCTTGCTCCCTGGTGGTAATGGCAAAATAGGGCTGGTTTACTTGCAGCTTCCAACAAGGAGACCCTGTGGCAAGTAAGGGGATGTAAGATATAGTACAAGAAGAAGTGAAGTAAGTCAGTTTGGAGCTTAAGGGGTCCTCTCCTATGGGACTTCAAGGAGGCAGTTTGGCATGGCCTCCTCTCTGTCTTCATGCTGCCTTGGGCACCTGGCTGTGATGGGGAGAGCCACCAACAGAGCCAAGGGATCTGAATTGTCTTCTCTGTGGAATAACGTTTTAGTCTTTGATGGATGTGTGAAAGGTATAAGAATATGGTGATGATTACCTGCTATTCCATTAGTGAGTTACTAGGGAGGATATTAAATGGAAGATATTAAACTTAAACACTTAAAAGTCTGCAGGATTGGATAACTTCCAGGAATTGGTCAAAGAGCTCTCTGAACCATTAGTGTCAAGACAACGAAAAATAAAAAATGGAGCAGTGAAGAAACTGAAAAAGGTTGGAAAAAAGCCAATCTTTTAAAAGAGTAAATGTGATGAGTGGGGAACTACATGCTCCTGAACTTGACATCCATCACAGGAAGGAATGGAGCAGCTGATACAGGATGCAGTCGGCAGAGTAAAGGGTCTTAGCCTCCACCACACACTGAATAAAAAACAATAGTAATCGGCATTATACCAAATGATTGCATCCCCCTACTGAATGGGGTAATTGGGGAGTGCAAAAGCAACTGTACATGTGGAGCTGTTGTCCATTGTGAGTATTTTGCAGCCGAACCTGAGAAGGATCTGCTGTATGCACGGTGCCCTTCAACAGGTTCTTCCTCTGAAAGGAAACCTGAAACCATTAAAAGTCAAACGCGAGGCTGACTTCACCACTTGGTGTAATGCTAAGCTGTGGTGAGAACAGGCCAGTTAAATATGCTGAGCTAGGCTGTTTATTTATCACTGAAATGTGTAGTTCAAAGTGACCAACTGACAGCTCTTTAAACAAAGAATATAGGCCACTGGGAGGCTGAACATTACAGAGCACTGCAGTTCCTGAAAGAACAGGGGAACACTGTGAATAAGTCTAATTGCACATAGACTCCCTGCACCATGCTCTGCTTAGGATACCAGATAAGTTCCTTGGAAATGTAAGGCATTACATTTGTATATACAAGCCTGTCTGGTCTCATGCATTAAGTAGAAAACTTAGTGCAACTGGGTCCTGCCTCCCACTGCTCTGTATGCAAGCATGTATCTCATTCATTTTAAGCATGTATCTCCTGCATTTTTAGAACTACTTAGCTGCTAGTATGTGTTAAATATTACCCTCTAGACTGTGTGACTCAGCCGAAACTGTTTTAAATTGGGTTAGGAAAGTAATTTGTTTATTCCCGTGATGCTATTCCTGTTGTAGATTCAAGAGCAACAGCAAATTAAAAATCAAAGCTGAAAACCCCTACTCATTATGCCTCAAAGTACAGCTGAGGCTGCTAGTGTCTTATTTTTTTATTTGCTTTTTGCTATAGTATAAAAAGATGAAAACTCATTTGAAGGGATAGAAATGAGTTTAGGTTCCAAGCAGTTTGATTATATGCATGTTCCTCGGAAGCTATCTTTCTCTCTTTGCCATGTGCATGTTTTCCTTGTCTTGAGCTGGCCCAAGCAGCTACAAAATGGTTAAGTCAGACACTTCAAACTCTTTTCAGGTTCCATGTATATCCTTGGGCTGTCTGCAATTCTAATTTAACAGATAATCTATCTGAATTCATTACAAGAAGATGAGTCCAGATGTTCTGTGAAGGCTGTTACTTCCAAGAGACTATGAGGCTGCTCCTTGTTAAGTGACACAAGGGACCAGACTTCCGTCCTCAGGTTACCTAAAATAGACTCAACATCTCAAATGTTCCCTTCTAATAGCTCCAAATCCCCCCAACTGGCAAGCCAGTCTCTGTGTGTGCAGCGTCCATTTTGTTTTGCCCAGCTGCAGACGTTAAGTTAGATTGGGCAACAGGCAACCGAGGAACTGGCTCTGCCCTTTGTTTGTCAGCAGGGGACTCTGTAGCACAGGCTTGCGGGGCCTCTGTGACACAGGGACTCAAAGAGTAGTGCACAGCCAGCCCTTGCCTTCTCACTCAGCATCTCCCTGATAGCCAGCACTGCCTAGGACTGTGGCAGGAGGAATGGAAGCAAAGCAACTCCCTCTTGAAGCTTGGCAATGCAAGGGGCTTTTCCAGGTCACAAGCACCATCAAAAATCCCCCAAATTATTGCGAGGTTTTGTTCCTTTTGCACTAGAAATGCAGTGCAAAAGGATTACAGCTTTTGGTGTGGCAGCAAGCTTGATCTGAAGAATTAATGGTGGTTTCTTATGACTTTCTGCAGGTTTCTTCACATAATAATTGGGTGAAATTTTGAGGTATATTAGTGCATTAATGGCATTGTTTTCTGGTCTTATGCCATATGCCAGAGATCTTCCATAGGACTTGCATGAAGCCAGCAGGGCTGTGTGTGGACTCTTGTATATACTGTATGTTGAAAAAATGACAGCAAACAGGCCACGGTCTGTTGCACAGACAGGGCTATGCTGTCAAAGGGTGGCCTCAAGTCTGCAAAAAGAGAGTCTAATGTATTTTGTTTCTGTTTTGCTGCTTGAGAGCCCTGAATGAGAAAGCAGAACATACATCTTTACATTATTCACGTAAAATGCTTTTTTTCCCTCCAGTTTTCATGTGTTGATTTGGTTGTGTTTTGTTGTTTTTGGTTTGGTTTTTTGGTTTTGCTTTTGTTTTTGTTTTTTTTGATCAAGCTACAAACTTCATACTAAATTTCCTGAATGCTGATGTAAGGTCTGTGTCTTGTAAGTGAAGCATTTACAGTGTCAGCCAGCTGTGAAGGCAGGAGTAGGGATGTTCAGGCAATGAGTTTACCAAGGAAATTGGGGGGAAGGGTATTGCAATGTTTTCTCTAGGGAGCAGAGTAACTATAGTAAGAGCACAGTGACCCCTGGAAGAGGCCAGTGCTTCTGTGTGTGCCAGGAGAACTGGTGCTATCAGAGGTGAAAGGAAGAGTGGGAGACTCAAGGGAGTGTGTGTGTTGCAGGGGGGAGGGTGCACAAGTCATACAGTGTGAACTTATTTTTTCTGCTTTCCAGTTTTGCAGGTATTTTTTCCCTGGGTTTTGATGCTGGGTAAAAGAGCAATGTGTAAAATCTTCGGTTTTATTAATTATTACTATTGTTATCATCATCATCATCTAACTGTTGTGTAAAATTGCAAATATTTATTCAGCTTTTACTCTAGTACAATTTTAACCAGAATTGTGGGTTTGCAAATGAATGAAATCATAGGTTCCTTCAGACATTTTACAAGCACAACTGCAATGATAACATCTAATTGCAGGGATCTGAGACTGTCTGACTGCAGATGGGATGCTATTAACCTTTTTCTGTCTGTTATGGATGTGTCAGAAAATTGTCAGGACAGTGCAAAACACAATCCAAACCTTTGTGATGGAACAAACATTTAGGTTCTGAGTCTGCAAGAATTTAATCTACACTTAGGCTGATGCATTTACCAACAGTCCTGTTACAACAGTATTTTGAAGTTACTTTCATGTATAACCTAACCCATGAACAGAAGGATTGAAGAAGCCGTATCCTGAAAAGTAATGACAACCTTAACACACTTCATTACAATATATGCAGGGCTACAGGTACTGGCATACTAACTACATTAAACTCTAGATCATGACAGAAGGATACTGTATAAACCAGGCTGATGTCTGATGCCTGACTTTCTGCCACAGCAGTTGTTCTTTCGTTCCAAGTCATGGCCACTTTCATGCTTCCAAAGTCCTGGCTCCTTTCAAGAGCAGTGCTTCCTTCAGGTGGTTGCCAGAGGTACCCTCAGCACAGGCTTTGAAAGTCAGGGGTGCTATTAGCGAAACAGGGAATCTATTTCCTCTTGGTTCTGCGAAGCATTGGACTAGGCCACAAAATCTATTCTGTTTTGACCGCTTTGCATGCAGATGCTGAATTAATAAAAGAGAAAGGTACATCATTCGTATTTAATTTCAGAAGGGGATGACGATGGACGCTTTTCAGGCGTCCTCAGCGCAGCGGTGACCGGTAAGCACACGTTCAGGCCTGTTCCACCGTGACGCACGCGGCCTGCCCAGCCGCCGCTCTCAGGGAAAACCCGACGCCGGTGGAAGGGTTCCCACGGCTTCCCCAAGGTCACTGAGGCAGCTGCGCTGGGGCAGTCTGCAGGGGCGCAGGCCGCGAGTGACACCTTGCGAGCGGGGCTGCCCCGCTCACGCC